CGCTGCGCCGGGTTGGATGGGGAGCCATCAATGTGGCCGGGAAGGAGGCGTTTCCCAGTCCCACGCTGGCCCTGGGCCAGGCTCCGAAATGAGACGCCTTGCACCACACCGCAGCTGGCGGCGCGCAGGGAGCTCCCACTCACACCTCCCCGTGGTATAAAACCCCGGCACGCCGCAGCCCGCGCAGACCCAGGAGAGCCCGTGGAGCAGGTAAGTGGCCCATCTGCCACCGTGGGATGGGGGGTCTGCGCCCCAGGGGTCCTGCCACCCCTCTGCACCCTCCCCTGCTCCCACGCTTGGCTCTGCCACGACTTGCCGCTGGGGCAGGGACGCTCCTGCCGCTGGGACGTGTCCCGGCAGCTCACCGCATCCCGGGGCTCCTTCCTCGCCCTGCACTCAGTCCCGGCGCCGAAGGAGGGGAAACTCCCCCCAGGCCGAGAGCTGAGCCTGGCTTTCTTCCTCCGCCAGCTCCCCAAGACCCCATCGGAGAGGACAACCTCGCCACCGCTGCCACCAAGGACCTACAGACCCCGTGAGGAGCAGCATGGGCCAGTGCAACTGCCGCAAGAAGCACAAGGTCTATGAACAGTGCTGCAGCACCGGGAGGGCCGGGACCCCCGGCGGGGTGCGGGGCACAGGGGTGATCCTGCACAGCCCCATCCCTTGGAGCGCAGCCCTGGGCACGGGGTGACTCAGAGCAGCATGGCCGGGCATGGCTCCCATCCTGGAGCCAGACTCCAGCGGAGGAGCCAGGGGGCTGTTTCGGGGTTCGGCGACGCTGCCCCGGCGCTGGGCAGGGGGATCTGGTGCTGCAGGCTTGGAGCCGCTTGAAAGCTCAGGAAACCAGGCAGCTTTCTCCAGCTCCCGTGGACTCACCTTCGGGAGCTACACTCGCTCCTTGCAACCTCTCCAAGGATGCCCAACGGCAGAAAGTCTCCTGTTTTCCTCGGCTTTCAAATGGGAGCTGCCCACTCAGTGCCCCTTGGCACCTGCGGAGGATTTGGTCCCGGCTGGCTGAGCCGGGGTGCCAGGCTGAGGCTCTGAAGATCGCTGGGTTCTTCCTAATGGGCATCGCCTGATGTGGTTTAATAGTGTTTCAAGGGGAAACCGCAGATGCTGAATGAATCACCATCGTTTCCCTTCAAACGCGGCTTTGGCTAACGAGCACGAGTGGCCGGGGAGCCAGGTGCATGGGTTGGGCCGGTCTCTGCCCCCCACCCCACCAGGGAAAGGGTCTGCAGCCCTGTCGG